TAAAATCGATTAAGAATGTTTAGACACGTACACGTACAACGAAAGTAAAAGACAACAGATGGAATTTATATAAAAGAAATTAGCAATAAAATAAGATAGAGATCAAAGATATCATGGATAAAAGTGTGAACATAACTTCAGACATATTTTCCTTATTAATAAAATATCATGCACATTAATTTCTCCATATTCACATTATGTGCATATAAAGTCAAATTTCTGAATTATTTTTTATTATTATAAAGAAGTCATAAAGTTGCTCTTTGCTCTTTCTTCTTCTTTTTTGCTATCTTCATAGTCACAAGAGCATGAATATTAGTGTATATGAGAGTTTGATAGTTATAGAGTTTTAAATTCATACTAATTCTAGTTGAATCTTACTAAATACAAACTAATAATGATTGAACCCTTTGCAAAATTATAAGAGTAAACTATATGCATGAATTAGCATTTTATATTCTTAAAATATCTTATATAACAAATTACTTCAACTATACATAGAAATTCAACCTCTGAAAGAACACTATAAAGACATAAATTTGTTATAAAAAGATAAAATATTTGCATGAAATGCATTTGGCATAGAAAGCTACTTATTTTAATAACTTGTTTTATAGACTAAATGCAAACACAAAAGACTAATTTTTTTATGACAAGTATTATAGCAAGGGACGATCGTACATAGGACTGTCAAAATTGAGTCATGGGTCGGGTTTGGGTCCAACCCAGAACTGACACGGCACTATTTGGGTCAACACAAACCTGACCTGTTTTTTAAAATGGGTCAATTTTTTAAACCCAAACTCGACCAACTTTGGGTTCGATTCAACCCGACACGGCCTATAACTCAGGTATATGCAAGCATACACAGCACAACAGCATATGCGCGCGGTACTGCGGGATGTCGGACGCGTGCAGCAAGACGCCGAACTAGGGCATACAGGATGCCAGAGGCCGCAGCAAGGCGCTGGACGTGGGCGGATGCGAAGCTAAAAAGGGACGCCTGATGCAGGCAGTGGGACGCCAGACAAGGGCAGCGGGATGTCGGACACCGGATGCAGGCATACGTGAACTCGTAAAGCCGAAGAGGGCAGACGCGACTCGATGTAATGCGGGCAGAAGAGGGCATGGGCAGGTAGGCGTGGTCAAAGGATTGCAGTCAAGTGAAGAATTTTGGAGGACTAAATCGAGTGATGTTAGTTAGTGGACCGAAGTCGAGTATTGTTGGTCTAGTGGTGGTCCAATGGTGGCAGTCTGAAGGCGATCTAGTGGTGGTCTAACAATGTTTGTTGGGAAATGGCTCATTGGTGTTTATCGATCGATGATTTGATGGCGGTGGTCTAAATATGGCATTCAAGTAGTGGTCCGACAACAATGGTTCTACAATGATGTTCAAGTGGAGCTCCAAAATTCTTTAAACTTGTGAGCTCTCCTGAGTCTCAAGCCAATCTAAGCCCCCTTCATGTGTATAATGATGTCTATTAATAATTTTTTTTAAAGTGGTATATATGATAAATTTAGCCAAAATCCAGAAAACACTATCAAACAACACATATTGATTCTCTAAATCATCACCGTTCTCTTAGCATTATGCTATCTTAATGATGTTGGACTTAGGCGATTTTGGGCTCTTTGGTTTCATCTTTTCACGTTGCTGGATTTCATTATAAACATATGATATTTGGAGATTGTGTGGCCGTCCAATTAATATCTTACACTTTCTCATTACGCTTCAATTGTTTAATCTAGGTTCTTTTAGACCCAAAACATATCGTTTTTGGTATCATTGGGTTCATCTCTTCGAGTCCTTTCGTTTAACTTTTTTTTTTTTTTTTTTGAAATTGGAGCTCTGATAATCCTACCTATAATTTTTTTTTAAATTATTTATATATTCAACAAAGCTCATGTCTAATCCACCTAATTTTTGACTAGATATTGATCCTCCACGTATCCTTTTGTGGGAGATCTTCATGGTGCCCCAGGTAATTTCTTTTTTAGCTTTATTTTTTTATTCCAACAGCAAAACACTAGAATTTTCACTTAATCATTATATCATCTTAAACAATGCATATATTTATAAAGAAATAAAAAAAAAAATCATTTACAAGTAATATATCTATGGTTCAAAGAACAATTCTCACATATTCACAATCATATATACATATTTTATTAGAGTTCAAAATAGAAACAAAATGTCAAATTTAGGATTCGTTTGGGATAGCTTTCTTACTGCTTTTTAAAAAAGATTTTTAGTACAAAAAATTTTTAGTTCAATATATTTTTTTACTAAAAAGTTATTTTACAAAATAGTCCCAAAAGATAACCTTATTTTAAAGTAGGAACAGACTTTTCTAAGCTGGAAAAGTAGGAATTAACTTTTCTTAAAGTTGTAATGAAAGCTGAGCAAAGCTATTACAAAGTACTCTTTTTTCAACAACTGCTAAAAAATAGTTAGCTTAGTTAATAAAAAAATAAAAATTATTGCGATGTTTTAAAGTTTAGTATGTCACATGGTTGATTTTTTCAAAGAACATCACTGCCCACATAATTAGGATAGGCAATGTATTTTTCATTAAGGTAGAATTAATAGGCCAACTACTCCATTCAACCACAGCCTATAGCAAGAATTGCAATTTTTTTATTTTAAAATTTTCAAATTAAGGTAAAAAGAAAACCAAAAAATTCAATCCTTTCTTTATGCACGAGCTCTTCACATCGGTCATCATACATCCTCGAATAAAAGTTTTGTAATACTGTTGAGTATCATATATTAGAAGCACACTCAAGCTTCGTTTGGGACAATTTACTGATTTCTGAAACAGGTTTTTAGTATTAAAATTTTTTAAATTAGAAATTTTAATACGACAAAGTTGCTTTAGAAAGTAATAAAAAAACTATCCCAAATGAATCCTCAACCATTTGGATCCATTACAAGAATCACCATTTGCTTATGAACTTTGCTTAACCCTGGTTGAAGACGTCAAAGATTGATGAGAGACACAAATGGTATAAACTATTCAATTCAGCTGAACTATCGGCTCTCATATATTCAAACATTGTTCGAAATTTCATAGAACATTGCTCGAAACTTGACCAATCTTGCTAGAAGTTTTTGGACTAGTGTTTCAACATTGATCAAAACTTTTTCACATCATGATTGAACCATCTTTGAAACAAGATTGCAATTTTGATTTTGAAATATGAACAAACCTTGAATAATCTTTAAATAGGATTTGATCATGTGTCAAACATATTTTGATCAAGGTCAAAATAAGTTTTGAATAATATTTGAAACCAGTAATCTTATATTTTTTTTAACCGGTAATCTTATATCTAACATCTTTTTTAACATTAGGGTTTAGATTGTAAACGAATAACATCTCCGGAGACGACCACTTTGCCAAATGTTTAACATCAATAGGGTAATATCTACAACAACAATATTCTAAATGGATCTTGAATCTGATATGCTAAATCTATTGTGATTGCATTTTCGTATTTTCTATAACGTGAATGTATCTGTAGGTTTTTGAATGCATCAATTCTATCTTAGAGGGTGTTCGGAGGGTTAAATGTGTGAACATTAGCTAAACTTAGTTTTTCTCTTGGGAGTGCTGCGGCGTTATGTTTGGGAGCACTACAACGCTAATCTCTTTGTATTTTCTATTTTGAAAATACGAAAAATATATTTTAGGGAGCATTTTAACATTGTTAGAGGTGTTGCAATATCATGCTCTATGTATTTTTGAGAAATAAAAAAAAAATAAAACAAATTAAAAAAAATTATTTAAAAAAATTATTATGCAGAACACATAGTACGTAAATAAAAAATTAAAATATATATATATATATATATATATATATATATTTGATAGGTTTTTATGTTTGATGATTGGGCCTTAGAAACTCAAACAATTTGTCCCATTAATTATTTTTTTGGTCTCGTTAGTTGGTCAGCTTCGAGGACTTGTTTACGATTGCAATTCAATTACAACTATAATTAAATTTGGTCAAACAAATAATTAATGTGAAGAACACACTAATTACATTGTTAATTAATCATTAGACCATTAGCGAAGCTTAATAATATCTCCGACATTTGTAACCAAAAAAATTAATAGAACTCCTTTAATCATTCTCTTGATGACATATGCGTCTATTGTGGTACTTATTTATTAAGGAGTATGGCATCATTAAAATGATGATGGAATAAAAAAATTAGTAACATATTTAATCATAGAATTAAAAAAAAAATTATAAATCAAATTGAGATTTCGTTGGGACGGCTTTCTTTCTGCTTCTTACAGCAGCTTTTTAGTATAAAAATTAATTTTTTTTGTTCTAAAAAGATGTTGTAAGAAACAGAAAGAAAGCTGTCTCAAATAAAAATTGAATGGTAATCCAACGTATAAGAAGATGTCACGTACAATTTGTGATAAAACTTTTTAAAATATGCCCAAAAGTTTAATTCAGATCAAAATATCTTAGATATGAACTATGACATGTTTTTTAATATCATCGCCATCAAAATTGATTCGATAAAATTCAAGTAATATTAGAATAAAATTCGATCAAGATTGACGACATATGCAATGACGTTGTCTTGGACTTTTACTGTCTCTATTAGTCAATATTAAAAAATTTATATAACAATAAATATATTTTAGAGAGTTCAAAATGAATAGAAGTATATTAGTGCTTTTACTCTCTCTATTAGAAAAAATATTACGTGCAGACGTCAAATATGTTTGGACGCTAATCAAGAGTCATCAGGTCACTCAAATACGAGAAACTATTCTGTGCGGAGCCCCGACGAAGAATGCTACCCATAGACCAACAAGAATGCACGTCAACGATACTGAACCATGGCACCGAACGAAAAATAATATGACGGACGAATTCCGTTCAACATCTACACAAAATAATTAATCCTCAATTACATACTGCATTGAATGAACAACATAGGCATAAAAAAAAAAAAAAAAAAAACATAGGCATTATCCTAATTGATCTCCGGATTCATTCTCCTTGGCAGGAAAGAAGAATACAAGCCTTGTCCTTTTGTTAGTCAAAGTAGCCGTGGGCTCCATGTAGCCAACTCCAAAAGAGCGCCGGACACGCCGCCGGAGTCGCTTCTCGAGGAAAAATCGTAAAACTTATTCAACGGCGACCACCGCCACCTTCTTCAACACGTCAAACACGCGTCCTCCCACCAAATTCTAATTTCTTCTTCCCCTTTTAAGCCCTCAATTCCTACTTCCACGTTTTCTAGGGTTTCAATTCGCCAATCTCTCTGTCTCCTTTCTCCCATGGCCGCCTACTCATGTTTTACATGTCTCATCTTCTTCTTCGTGATTGCCGTTGTGTCACTGGAGGGGATTTATGCATCGCCGGCTTTTGGATTCGACATGCACCACCGATTCTCCGATCGGGTTCGACAGTGGGCGAAGTCGATGCCAAGAGACCTTCCGGGCGGCTGGCCGGAGAAGGGAACGGTGGACTACTACGCCGCCCTGGTAGGGCATGACCGCGGCCGTTCGCTTGGCGAGGAGGCTGCTAAGCTGGCCTTTTCAGATAGCAACGAGACCTTGAGGATCAATTCGCTCGGATTGTAAGATCTTGGAATCTTTATTTTGTGGGGTTTTTTTTTTTCTTGACTTGTTGAGTCATGCTTGTGGAATCGGATATTTTGCTGAAATTTTTTGGATTCTTTGGTGTAGCTTGCACTACGCTTTCGTTTCACTGGGGAGTCCAAATGTCACGTTTCTGGTTGCGTTGGATACGGGGAGCAATTTGTTTTGGGTGCCCTGTGATTGCATGAGTTGTGCGCCGACTACTTCTGATAGCAACGGTTTGGTATGCTTTGTTCGACTCTTTGGCTTTATTTTGTTCTTCTTCTTTTTTTTTTTTTTATGGTTGCTGCGGGCTTTGATATGGTAAAACGGAGAAGGGTAGTTGCAGGGGTGTTTTAACAAATTAAGGCTTTAAAGTGAAATATGCACAGTTTCATGTGGATGTGTTTTTGACCTGACACGATGATTGATTTTTTGATAATTTATTGTTCTCATGTTGAGATGAGGAAGCTCATCAGCTTTGTTGTTCTAGGGTTTTGCTTTCTTGAACTAAGACTTGGAAATTAGGCATGAAATGCGACAAGTCTGTGTTGCCATGCAAGAATTTAGCATTTTTATTGGTGATCCTAGGTGAGATCGATGAGGCGTTGACCAATCTTAGTGTTTTGAAGGGAGAGTTAAATCACAGATTTTGTGAGAATGATCCCATGGACAATCAAATCACAGATTTTGGGTGAGTGGAGAAGGTCAAACCTGGCAAATTGGAGACCTAGGCAGACCAAACGATTTAATATCTTATAGAGATACAAACAAAAAGGGAAATACAATGTTTAAGAATGATCTTGCACATTGTATTTGAAGATACGTGACATAAATTGAATCGCAAATCTAATTTTGTATCAACAACACCAAGTGGTCATGCCTTTCTTTTCTTCTTTAGAGCCAAAGATTTTGCAAGAGAAAATCAAGGGATTTCCTTTGAATTTGATAAATATGCAATCTAAAACCTTTGGAATGGGTGTAGTATATGTGGAGAGTCCATTAGTGCATTCTAGAAATGATTTGCAATAGCTAGGATAATCTTAATAAGGAAACCCAACGATTAGTTGAATATAGCCGTCAATTCATACAACTTAGTAGAGGTCTTACAGAGATTTAAAGGAGGTCCATAGAGGGTTTAGCAGAGGCCCGCTAACTAAAATCCTAGGCCAAGATCTATGTTCATTCATAGAGTAGAACGATGCTTTGTAGAGGCTCACTAAGCTAACAAATATCCATTAAGTATGATGGAGGCACATAAACCGGTAATAAAAAATTTTAATAATTTTTGAGTGATTTCTTTGAATTGTTTTTAGCAACATTTGAATCTAAGTAATTAAAAAAATTGTCTAGGCAAAATCAAAATATGTATAGAAAATTTAAAATAATATTACCATATATATATATATATATATAATTTTACCTTTAATATTATATAATGTAAAAATGATTTTACTTGATTAGATTATGAAGGCTTGCGAGCTTTGAAGTCATATCCAACATTTAGTATATATAAAGAAAATAAAATAAAATAAAATGTTATTATTTCTGTATCATGTCTTCATGTACACATCTTGTCCTTGTAGTTTTTCTAGTGTATTTACACAAAATCTCAAATAGTCATCAGAACATTGTTTAAAATTGGGCGTATGGATGTGCGCCTCAATGCTTTTTGGCAAAATTCACCATGAGGAATAGGCCTCATTAAGCCTGCCATGAGGCATACGCATGCTTCATCAAATGAAAACTCGAATTGCCCTTGCGCTTTTTTCTTATCATTTCCACAAATTTCAAAAGGTTGATCTTTTGTTACTCGTGGCACTAGTGGTAATTGTTTCAACTAGACTTGGCCCTATGATTTTTACTTTTATTTTTTTTAATGTAAAACATTTCATGGTATCTATTAGCTCCATTTTTCTCTACTGATTGTATGCGAGTCATTGTTTGAAGCCAAAGCTGATCGAGATCTCTATCTTTCTATACATATTAGATTTCTATAATGTAATTGGAGTTATGCCTACTTTCGATGAGAACCAAATATGACTGATGAAAGAAAAAAAAAAGAACAAAACCATAGGTTTAAAAAAAATTCATTACAGGCATAATAAAATATTAGGTCTTTAAAAAATAGGAAATAGGATGGATGAATAGTCTCATTCTTTTTTCATTTTTTTTAGAAAAGGCTTATGCGTGTGCTTTTTTAGACGTTGATATAATATGCCAAGTTCTTTGCAATTAAATAGAGACAATGCGATGTCATAAGTATTGTTGCTAAGCTAGTGGCAAGTATGGTGCTCTAGTTTTTTTCCTCTACTCATTAACTTGTCAAAATCACCTATACCACCTGGATTCAACAAGTCACTCTTCACTCCAAATAGTTTAAATCAAAACCTATATACAATGGATGAGCATGATTGAATCGTTAGGATGGGTTTTAGCTTATGGTTTTCCTTTGATTGTCAAAGACATTAAGTCTTCACTTGCATATCTAACTTCCTAATCCTTGAGAGGACCATCATAAACTGTGATAGATTTAAGATCGGTGTTCATAAGAGTGTCAAATTTTGTACATTTTACCCTTACTCATTGATTATTTGGTTGTTTTTGCTCTTTAGTGCTAGATGCTAGTGAACACGTGATCCATCTCTATGTCTCTCTATCTAGTTAGATATTTGTCTTCTCGTCCATCAAAGAATTTATGTACAGCCCCTTCTTTCTAAAGATAGCTAACAATATGCCTCTTTCTATCTCTTAAATACTTGTGTGCCCTGACTGATCTCAATCTCCTTTATTTCTCCACCTCCAACCCATCTTTTTTTGTAAGGCATGCTGTCATTTGTGCCTATGCATTCAGATGTATTTCTATCTTATTATATAAGGGATAGCCTAGGTTAGGTAACATGGATAGAAGTTATTCAAAGAGATTTATTTAGAACTAGTTTAACTAAATTGAATAGAAGCTATTCTAAGAGATTTATGTAGTCGAAGTTTAACATCCCATGCAACACTCAATAGGAAGGAAAATTGAAGATTCTTGTAGCTAGACTACAAATAGTTGGGATAAAGATGATGATGATTTTAAGGAAATGTTCAAGAGTTTGATGCTTTCACCTTCTTTGTACACATAGACATATAGGCCTGCTTGCGAGATATTTATGTAGAATATGTTTAATATCTAATGTGGCACTCAGTAGGAACAAATGATGAATTAAGATTTATGATATGGACCCAAAATGATGGATAAGTTGATGATGATTTCAAACAAATATTGAAGAGTTTGATGCTTTCACTTTTTTTTTTAAATTGATTAAAAGGCCCTTAAAATTATATTTTGGCCGTATGCTTTCACATCCTTGTATGTATAGACATGTCAGCATGTATCATGTATGCAAGAGATATTAACAAATTTGATTCTTCTGCCTCCGTATAACTTTTATGTACATAGAGAGACAAGCATAGAACAGAGATAAAAAAGTTTGATAGCTCCACCTTCTTGTATGTGCGCATAGACTTGCTAATGTAATATATCTTATAGTCTCGGATTTTTAATGTTAAATGCACATAAGAAGCAAAACCTATGCAGCAAATATTTTAAATTGAGAGGACATTAATTGTTAATCCAAAAAACTAATGGGTAAGTCATTAAAAACAAAATCATGACAATTAATTCAAATAAGAAGGTTAACTTCAATAATGAGAAGAAGTATTAAGAAAGCCATAAAAACCTCTAAAATTCACACACACTAACAAAACATATATTGTAGCATGACTAAACACAATCACTTTTAAATCAATGAAAAACATAGAAGAAGAAGGATGAGGAGAAGAAAAGGAAAGAAATTAGGAAAGAGCTCACAAGAAATGCAAAACACACTCATACAAGGATATAATCTCTCCGAAAATTCTTAAAGTCTCTCATTTGATAAATGAGCCCAATTTCAAAAGAAGAAGGAATTACACCTCTGAAGAAAATTTATTAACCACTCATACTATATTATGCAAATGCCCCATACCCTTATTTAAAATTATATAAAAAAAAAAATTCGTGTCCATGAACTTGTGACCATTGTTAGAATGCAAAATTCTCACCCTTGTTTCCTGCTACAACATTGCCAAAGCTAGAACCCGTAGCAACTGTCGAAAATAGATGAATTGAAAACATAAGAAGTACCACATCATAAACAAAGGACTAGCCTTGGGATGCAAACAAAGTAAGGGAAAATTGCAAAATACGGGGATCTCATAATCATAAACCTTTGATAATTCAATTAAAATAAAACCCGCTAGGATAGTCATCAATTGCCCTACTTGAAAAAATGTTGCAAACTGTTTTTTTGAAATTCTTCTGATAGATTTGACATCACTCTTAGATTTTTTTTTTTTTAACAAATATCCGTGAATCAACACTTATAGATCTATTTTCCCATTTTATGAGGTGTGTTTTGCTTCCACAATCAGTAGTGGACTTAATTTAATCATCAACAATAAAATAAGATTGTTCTAAATATTTAGGAGTTATGCAAATACTGTATTGTATGTGATACTCACTAGAAGAGTTGAAAAAGAGAAGAATTCATAGCATTGATTAATGTTTTATGATATGAATTTAGACCATATACATTAAAAATTAGATTAGCACTATAATTTTTTATAATTTTCAACTTATATGCATTCATCCCAATTTATTTATAACTTTATATGTTCATATTTTATAGCAGTTAATTTCTTAAATATTTTAAAAGAAACCTTCCAGTATTTTGACAGTCCATTGCCTTATTTACTTGCTTGAAGACTTCAAGTTTCTATTTTTCTCGGCAACAACTACATTAAATACATAATTGGAGTACTTAATAGGATGCTTCTAGCAAATAATTTTATGCAAATCATGTATATGACTTATAGATGATGTAATAAGATACAGGTATTGCAGGGTAGTAGCTATATACTTGTATGCATTCTAATGAATGCACTATAACTAATTTATATTTGTTAGGTTCATTAAAGTTTTATTTTCATAATTGAAGTCGCACGTGTGTATGATCTATATAAGGCCAGCTTATTATATTTATTAATAACTTCTATACAACAATATGAACCCCCTTTTTCCACTATGTGGGATTGGCAACATGGAGCCTTTTTCTCTATTGTATCATGTTAAGAGTCAAATTCTCATTCAAATTTAATAAATAAAAGTCATTTCTAATACTTTGTAAATAAGACTTCGTTTGAGACAACTTTCTTACTGCTTTCTAAAGCAATGTTTTTGTTTAATAAAATTTTGTACTAAAAAACTGTTTTAGAAAGAAGAAAGCAGCCCCAAATGAAGCCCAAGCCTTTTTAGGTCTACCTCTACTTTTCTTAACATAGTCAAAATATAATGCATCTACTCTCCAAATTGGGTCACCGCAAGGCCGACATTTATATGACAAAACCATTTAAGTCGACTCTCTCTAATTGTATTTGCCACTAGAGCTACTCCAACCTTATCACGTATATACTTATTTCACATTTTGTCTCTAAGTGTAAAGCCACTCATCCACCTGAGCATTCTCATCTCTACAACACTTAACTAAATTTTATGTTTCTCTTTTAATGACTAATATTCTACGCTAAAAGCATTGCAGGTCTCTCCACCATCTTATAGAATTTTCCCTTTAAGTTTGAGGGGTATGCATTCCTCCATGTCAACCATCCAACTTGAATTATACTAATAATATTCATATCTATTTCACCATCACTTTGAACAATAAATCAGAGATATCTAAAACATGTATTCTTTTTAATGACTTGATCACCCAACATTACAATCCCCCACCATATCTATTACTACTAAAATTACACTTCATTTATTCAGTTTTAGATCTACTCAAACGAAAACCTTTAGACTCTAAGGCTGACCTCCATAATTCAAGTTTTCCTTCAACTCATCTAGTCTTATCAATAAGAAGAATATCATTAGCAAAAAGCACACACCATGGTATATCCTTTTGCAAATATCTAGTAAGAACATCCATGACTAAAACAAAAAAGTTCTGGCTTAAAGGCAATTCTTGGTGTAATCCAACTGAAATAGAAAAATACATGATCAAATCATCTTATGTTTGAACACAAATGACAATACTTGCATACTTGAACTAAATCATTACTTCATGTATCTTTTTGTTTGGCTAACTTATATATATATATATATATATATATCTTTCATCCTCCTTAGCATCTAATTTATTATTTAAATCATTAAAAATTAAATTCTTAGCATCACAAATTGCTTTTTTAGACTCCTTACATGTCCATTTATATATTTCCTAATTTTTCAAGCTTTTACATCTAAACCAATTTTTATAAGAAAGATTCTTATATTTTATATTTTCTTGTACATTTTGATTCCATCACTAATTATTTTTAGTATTATGAATTTTTTTCTTTTAATACTTTAAGAAAATATTTTGCAACATTCTTAATATCACCAACTACTTTTTTCCTACATAATATTAGCTTCCTCATATATAGGCAGAATATTAATATCTTAAATCTTACTCTAAAAAATATTTTTGTTAGTATTTTTTTAAATGCCCCCATCTAATCTTAGGATAACATTTTATTTTATTTTTCATATTCTTTCTCTTCATCTACTATTCCCCATTTAGATTGCATAAATTACTAAGCGATACTAGATACATAAACTTTCACTCATAATAACTTTATTATTTTTGCAATCTAAACAATTAATTTTCTTATAAAAAAAATTAATCTGTGTTCTACTATATCTATTTTTTTTGTGTAACGAGATGCTCTCTTTTTTCTTAAATAAGATATTAGCAATTACAAAATCATAAGCTAGAATTATCATGGTCTTACTATCATGAATGATTTTAGAACTTTTTATTTCTCTTCCAACATGTCCATTTAAATTTTCTCCAATAATTTTTTTTTCAAAAGGTATAATTCATATTAATTCTTCTAAGTCATTTCAAAATTTTAATTTTGAACACATATCTAAACCTACTTGCGGAGCATAAACATTTATAATATTAATAATCTTAGTATAAATAACATTCTTTAACGCTATAATTATATCTCTCGTTCTATTATTTTTTACAATTTTTTTCTTAAAACTCTTATCTATAATCACATGTATATCATTTCTAATATGACTCCTACTTGAATATCATAGTTTAAATTCTAAACAATCAATCTCCTTAGCATTCTCTCCAACCTATTTAGTTGTATGAATGCATAAATATTTATCTTCCTATAAATCATAATATTTATTAATTTCATTAATTTTTTTGTATGAGAACATCTATTGCAAGTTATTATCCTAATTTCTTTTTTCACATTCGTCCATGATGTGGGAACCCTTGCTTATTTAACACTACACCCGGGCACAGTTCAATGACCCTTACACACTTCTCTTTGTATCCAGGCTATATAGTGCATCGCTTCGAGGGAACGCCCTAGCATTAACACAATGTATTAAAGAATTCATGTCATAATTATTCGACAAGTTTTACGCTGGTTGTCAACTACCTAACGCAAACCTCCACTTTTTTCATCAAGGGCTTCGGACTTGGCAACTACAATGTTTGATTAACAACTTCTATAAAGAAGATAAATCCAAATTATTTTAAGATTAATTATTATGAAAGGAATTTACGTGAATAAGTTTATGTATATGTTGACCCTGTTTGATTTCATCAATAAGACACTTTTTATGAATATACATGTCAAGAAATAAAGAAACACCATTAAAGTTGATATCAATTAAACCCAAATTTTTTATTTTAAAATTGAAATATTAATCTTAATTCAAATAACCCTTACTCCCAACCCAAAAAAACTGGTCTCTTTTAATAAACAGGGCCAAATCAACCAGGTAAGTTCGATTTGGTTTGGTTTTTAGATTTTAACCTACCCATGCACTTCTAATTTTAGGTTCAAATTGTTAAACAATACTATGTTGCATATTTTAATATGGATTTTAAAGCAAAATTATATATAAGATCACTCTGTAACTATTATTTTTTTTATTTTTATCCGATTCATGATAATTATGAACTATAATTTTTTCAAGTTAATCAAATTTAGTCATACATAACACTCATATTGGTGTGTGTGTTTTAGACCTAAGGTGAGGCACATAAGAATTTTCCTTAGAAGTGTTAAATTGAAGTACAATAATCCTAATAGGTGGATAATTGTAATTTCTTCGAACTCTAAAGTTTTGTGATATGTCTCATCTTTTATCATTGGAGATTGTAGATTAATTTATGCAGAATTTATTGTTAAGAATTTTATTAAATTAAATATTAATAATCTAATAATTTTTTAGGAAAATAAATATGGATACAAAAAATCTTACCTATAATTGGTATTCAAATACAGTTTACTACTTTATTTAAATTTCTTAAATTGGTCATGTGATTGGTCTCTATAATTGAAGTATGTCAAATATTATTCCTTAAATTTATGTTACACATATCAACTTATATAGGTTTTTCTTGCAACACTTCGCTAGAATTTTTGTACCAATCCTATTCATTTTGTTCAGGTAAATTCATATTTTTGGCGTCGGTATATTTTATGCCTTCTAAAGAATTTATGTAGAATGTTTACCCAATTCGAAAACATCAGTGGATCATGCCTCTAATTAAAACTAAGAATATAATTTCTATCTTTAGACCGATGTGCTGACATTATTTAGATTCATTTTCAATTTGATTTTATTTAAATTGCATTTTTTGTTGTGCTTTTAATTAATTATAATATTATACTATTTCTAAAAGACATTTTTATTCAACCTTAAGATTTCAGACCTAGTTAACCTATGAAATTTTATGCGCTAGCACTTCTAATGTAGATCAAATACGCGATACAGAAAATCATGCAACCAAAACTCAAAATTCATCAAGATACGAACTATCAATGTAAACATCTATAGTGTGATGGAAAATAATTCAAAATGAAAAGACTAACCTTCTATTTGAAATTAAAGATGAAAATGATATCAAGAAAGTAACAATTGAATTTCATGCACCTGACGCCAATTTAGGTTGTTGTAACTCTTACTAAACACAATTACTTCCAAACTACGATTGAAAATGCAGAAGAAGGAAGCGGAGAAGAAAAGAAGAAGGTAGGAAATAATTGACCAGAAGAACAAGCCTCATTTGTCCAAGGAGCTAAGCTCTTCAAGAATTATTTAAATCTCTTTTTTATCAAGGAACTAATTATTGAAAGTAAAGAGAATTGCACCAAAACTAGAAATCTTAATCAAACACTAATAATTTGTTATATATACATGCTTCAGGCCTTATTTAAAAATTGAAGTTACAAAAAACAAACTAAAAACCCCCTTGAGACTGCAACTGGATCAGAATATTCTCACACCCGTCCCCGGCTACATTGCCTCCAAAGTTGGAACCTGTAGCAATCGCAGGAAGTAAAGGAATTGCAAAAGTCAGAAGTCCCACAGTAGAGTAGGCGTAAGATGATGAGGTAACTGGGGAAGGCTACAAAAAAGAGCGGACCTTCATTAACTCAACAACAGTAAAAGCCACAACTCACAAGGATCTGCATGGACTTGGATGCACTTGCAAACAGGGGTGAATATGTTTAATACTACTCGAAATAATACATAATTGCAAATTAGAAGGGTTAGCATGTTAAGCATATTTCTCTGTGATGCTTGTTTGTTTAGTGTCTATATAGGAAATGAGAAGATGAAGATCACCAAGCTATTGCACGACTATTTGTAAGATTTTTGTCCATGACCAGAATATGCACGGATATAACATTCTTTTTCAATTTCTTTTTTGATACGTACACTAAGCTTGGCTTGTCTTTTTTATATTTTATTAAATGAAACAGATTTCTTCTCCTTTTGTTGTTTTAGCTTTAAGGAAGGTACATCCTAAGCCTTGTATAAAAGCTTCTTTTATCATGCAGAAATTGGATCAGTAAAATACTGGAGTTAGTTTTCTTTTTTACAGTTTTCATAAAGTATTACAGATAAAAACTTCATTGCTGTATTTTCCAGCTATCCAAAATCAAGCAGATCATTTAAATTATTTGATTCTTTGATGCTTCGATCATGCTTAGTCAATTCTTATTGTCATGCTTAAGCTGGTCTTCTGATTCTAAATTGCAACAGGGTATGGACTTGAATATTTACAGTCCCAGTCTGTCTAATACGAGCCAAAATATTTCTTGCAACAGCTCTTTATGTGCTTATCGAAGCCATAATGAATGCCCTGGAGGGGGGGACATTTGTCCTTACATGGTTGAATATGTTTCTGCTCAGACATCTTCTTCTGGGTTTTTAGTGAATGATATCTTATACCTAACCACTGAAGATAGCAAGCCTGAGATTGTCAAGGCACCTATAGTGTTTGGGTATGATGCTTTATTGTTTCTCGAGACTTTTTTCTTATGCTGGAAAACATATTTTTGGACTTTCTTGTTTGCTTATACTATCATTAGGCGAATACATAATTCAATCTACAAATTCATTGTGCAGGTGTGGACAGATTCAGACTGGTTCATTTTTGGGCGCTGCTGCTCCAAATGGTCTTTTTGGGCTTGGTATGGACAATTTATCAGTTCCCAGCGTTTTATCAAGTAGGGGCCTCATATCAAATTCCTTTTCAATGTGCTTTGGACTTGATGGTGTTGGGAGGATTAATTTTGGAGATCAAGGAAGCTCAGATCAGCAGGAAACCCCATTCAATGTCAATCAGAAAAAGTAAGTTATTTCTTATGTTTATGCCTTTTGTGCTTCATTTCCATGGTTTTTTCTGCTGATTTTGACATGATCTATCTCTGCATATTTTAAAAATTGTGTTTACATTTCAAAATGTGGCTCTACAGCTCCATATATAATATTAGCATAACTGGAATTGAGGTTGGTAGTAGCTCCAGTGATGTAAGCTTTAGTGCTCTGGTTGATTCGGGAACCTCATTCACAACTTTGGCAGATCCTGCTTACACAAAGCTCTCTGAGAATGTAAGTTTTTCCAATTAAGTAATTTAAGTATCTCTATCTCAAATTTCTCTTTCTAATTCCATTGATTTTTATTTTTCAGTTTAATACGGAGCTTAAAAAAAAAAGAGCAAATGTTGACTCTAGCATCCCTTTTGAGTACTGTTATTACATAAGGTTGTGATTTTGATATGTTTATGTGAAATATATGCTTGCAAAAAGCCTTGTTTCTTTTGTTCTTGCAGTATTTGATTCAGTTCTTGATTCTTGCAGTTCTAATGAATCTGTGACTCATTTACCGGTTATTAATTTCAACACTCGAGGTGGAAGCAAATTTCCTGTTAATTACCCTGTAATTTTCATATCCAATCAAGTAAGCTTGAACTTCGTCTCATGGAAGGCTCTTAATCATTAGATCTTATCGTTACACCTGTATTAACATTTGTTGCTATTTTTGCAGCAGGAGCGTGACTTTATGTATTGCTTGGCTCTTGTCAAGAGTAGCAAACTGAATATCATTGGCCGTAAGTTTTTTTTTTTTTTTTAATCTTTAATCTGATGCCACGTTACCAAAGTAGACTCAGATTTTTCGCATTCTTCTACTTGTCTTATTGAAACTCTGGTGCCAAAATATACTCTAGCCTTTATTACCATTAAAGAACTAAGTTAAATTTCTGAAGTTCGCAGTATATGCACTAAATATATTTAAATAGGTTTTGTTTATTACTTTTTATAATTTGAATAAGATTTATTTTTCAGTTAATGATATTTTAATTTATCTATTTTATTTTTTTTATTTATTTAATTTTACACTATAAAAAAATAAATTTTTATTTATTAATTAATTATAAATGATATAACTTGAATGATGTATAGATTTATAATTATAATGTGAATTTAGTATGTGGATCTATAAGTGTAAATTTATATTTAATCATATAATATAAAAAATAATGATTCATATTAAATTTATAAGAAACCCAAAACTAAATTTATATTAAATATAAACTAAATTCAAAGATTGAAATTGTTTTAATATTTAATTATTAAATATATTATTTTTGTAGGAGTTATGTTCAGTTTTAATCATATATTTGTATTATTGTATAATTATTTTGTCATTTAGATCATATTTAAATAATTTTAATATTTATTACGTCATTCGGTGCAACTCTGATCAAACTGTTGAACATTGTTACTTTTTTATGATTTTATGCCCGATCTGAATCTCACAACCTTGATGAGTGGTCATTATTTATTTGATTCTTTTACTTGGACAAACAAATAATGTTTCCACATGTCTTCTCATTCAATGCAGAGAATTTCCTAACTGGTCTTCGTATTGTGTTTGATCGTGAGAGAATGATACTGGGTTGGAAGAAATTTAACTGTAAGTCTGTTACCAGCTTTCAAAAACCCTAAATATGAATGTCCTATTTAACTGAATGGTGTGGGACTAATTTCTATTCAGGTTACAATAATGAGGATTCCAATCCCCTGCCAGTGAAGCCAAAAAATTCTCCAGCTGTTCCTCCGGCATCTAATTTGGGACCAAATGGTTACAATCCGGAAGCCACAAAGCAGGTTGGAAATGGTTCTCAGGTGACAGTATTGTCACCTTCTGACAGCCATTCTTCAAGCTTTAATCGCTTTGCAAGCATTGGGCTTTCATTATTTCTGCTTCCTCTGGCTATTCTTTGATCATTCTTTTTCCAGGCCCTTTACACAGGTTAGCTTTTGTGTCTGATTTTGCCCACCTTTCAAATCATACACAGGTTAGTGAGATAGAGAGGCTTACACCTTGTTGGTGTTCTTGTAATCTTGTCTCTTTTTTGTTAACTCACTCATTTCCAAGTTATTTCAGACTGGCTGTAGATATATATGCTTTGTAATATATTCTTTATAGGTTTTGTATTTCGATTTGATATTTCAATAATATTTTTTGGGGGGTTTGTTTCTGTATGTTGATAATACTTTATTTTCACTTTCCTGTTTTTGGCTAGCAATTCAAACACTTGAAATCTTTTTACTGCAAGTACTGGTCAGGACCACTTCTCCTCCCTTTTTTGCTCCATTTTCTTAGAGCTCTATGTATTGGAGTGGGGAATTTTAACCTATTTTAGTGCTAAGTGCTAACATTGATTCAGTTGGATTATTGTCTTGTCATTTTAGTGTTTAACTTGGATTTTGCAGTATGATTTCTTACTAGACATTTGCAAGAGGATGTACATTGGCTGATGATATTCTTCTTGTTGATATGACTAGAGAGGGATTGATAAAAATTTTGAATTATGAAGGTCAACCTTGATGTTTAAAAGTTTTTTATTTGAGTATATTTAAAATTGAATATACGAAGATTAATTTTAATAGTAACAGATCTACTAGTGGGATTGTGATCTTCAGTGATCACTTCATTAAAAGAGTGTGCATTGTAGATTTCTCACGCCTATTGTTTATAGTGATGGTGAAGTAGATGGGGATATTACTAGTAGAATTCAAGTTGAATGGCTGAGGTGGAGGAATGCATTGAGTCTTTGTGTGATAGAAAAATATCCCTCAAACGGAAGAGAAAATTTTATAAGATGTTGATGAGACCTATAATGTTTTGGCGTATATGCCTGAAAAAGTTGGTGTAGCTGTAGTTGCAAATAAGATTGTAGAGAGTCATCTTAGATGGTTTGGTTACGTAAAATGTCGGCCTTATAAATGACCTTGTTAGAATAGTAGATGTATTAGAACTAGTCTATATTAAGAAAGATAAAGATAGACTTAAAATGATTTGATTATGAAATGTTAAAAATTAACTTTTCTTATAAGAATTTGACTCTTAATGTTGCTAACTACATAGTAGGATAAAGCATTCTTGTTTTTGTATCTATGATACCTAAATTTTAATATTTATTTATATCTCAACCTTTTCTGCAATATTTAATAAAATAAACATAATATTTATGTAGAACATTACCTATATATTTTATTTTAAGTTGAAATATAAATAAAATGAAAATAAAAAAATAAAACAGAAAGTGATCCAAACCTCTTTAGACTTTTCTTTATAGATCCATTAATTATAGCATGTGATTTTTGTTCATGATTGCCAAGATTAATGCCGTGGGCCCAATCGCAAATGATAGAGTAATCTCGTGCTTCGGTCAAGTCATGTGCTTATGTATCATTAGCCTTGCTTCTCTTCATCGCCATTATTTGGGAAGTACCGCATGTTGTGATTATGGGTGCCAATGGTTGGCACATCCTAAAATTTCGGGTTCAGGTTAACCCGTTTGAAAAATGAGTCGGATTTGGATTTCAAATTTGGGTTGGATTCGAGACAAACAAAAAAACTCAAAATAAACCTGGAACTGATTAGTTAGTTGCACTTGCGGTCATCCACAATTCGCTAGTCCGTCATCACACTCCTATGTCTTGCACATCCTCAGGCTTGCCCGGATGTCCTCCTCTCCCTCACGCACCCGCTCATAGTTTTGCACTTGCTCGTCTAGCCATGCTCAACCAGGTCAACAAGTTAGGTCATGTCAACCCCGGTTAGGGGTGGGGTGGGTTCGGGTCTAGATTTCTAACTTGTTGTTCTAATCAGGTAGGGTTTGGGTCAGATCAGTTGAAGGCGGATCAGTTTCATATTGGACTCAAATCCAACCCAAAAATTCATTTTGACATCCCTAGTTATGACCATTAGAGATAAATAAATAATAAATAAGTTATTTTTTAATTAAAAAATTCAACAAAATACAATTTTAAGTCAAAAAGTTTATAAAATAAGTTTTATCATTTTGCACTCTCTCAAATGACAGTATTCAATTCTGATGTATTGATATTTTATAATGATGAAGTATGTCAAATTGAATAATTTGTATGATGCACCCCTAAATATTTATCAGACATACCATCAATGTATTCAATTAAGAGAAAAAAAAAAATTTACAGAAATGAGAGTCCAGCATATATGTCCTTAATATAAATTTTTAATTATAAAAGTATATTATGTGCATAATTTAAGCTAAGCCATCTCTTTCTTATATTAAAAGATCTTACTTAAATAAAATAATAGTTACTTAATACTAATTTATTTTTTATTTTTTTATTATATTTTACTATGATTTTTTTATATAATTTTTTTAACTTCAAGCTAACAATTTATAATATCATATGATAATTTATTCTTCTATTGAGTTTAAAATCTTTAATAAGTTTACATCTATTTCTAATTTGCATGTTATTAAAATGATTTTTCATTATATTAATTTATTTCATATTATATATATATATATATATATATATACTATATGTCCAATATATATTCATGTTCTTTGACCTAATGATCTTAGTAAAGCTCAAAATTATTATGGAACACTTAGATTTTATGATATCCATAAAATATTCCCATGACATTTAAAAAAAATTAAAACTAAAAATGTAGCCTTATAAGGCCCACTTTCGCTAACTCAATCCAAGAGGATAAACATAAAACCATCAAGCGCATCAAATAAACAGCATAAAACTAACAAAACTATCAAATTAATCAAGTGGGAAAACAGCAAGCTTATTAAAATAATTGAAATAAGCTAGTGTTGACCCACTAGGATAGGGGTGTCAATATTGGACACGACTCAAAAATTTGACTCGAAACCGATACGAAAATGTCGGGTTTGGGTCCTGATTTTCTACCTGTTTGGAATTCCGAGTCGGGTTCAGGTTGACCCGGAAACCCGAGAATGACCCAATTTTGACCTGAAATACTGTAGCTCGGCATATTTACGGGATTTGGCCAAAGAAGTGCACGAAAGGGAGAGAGACGAAAGTTACCTTCACAGCGAGCGAACTCCCGTTGTTGCTTCCAATCAAAATGTTGTAACTTCCAATCCGATTGGAAGGGAATGTTGTCCAAGGAGCAAAGTCAAACAACAACGAAGGAGTCGGCCAAGAGATACGAAAGAAAGAAAGTTTCCTTCACAGCGAGCGAACTCCCGACATTGCTTCCAATTAAAATGTTGTAACTTCTTATCCAATCGCAAGGGAATGTCGTCTAAGGAGCGAAGTTGAACAACAACGAAGGAGTCAGCCAAGTGACACAAAAGGGAGAAAGTTACCTTTCACACCGAGTGAACTCCTGTCGTTGCTTCCAATCAAAATGTTGTAAGGAACGAAGTCGAACAGCAACGAAGGAGCCTGGAGCAGTGGAGCTGGCAACTCCTTCACAGTGAGTGAACTCTCGTATTCTTGTCGTTGCTTCCGATCCGATCGAAAGGAGCGAAGTCGAATAGCAACGAAGGAGCGAAGTCGAACATCGACGAAGGCGGGTCGGGTTCGGGTCAACCCGAACCCGAAGCAGGTTGGGTTCGGATCCAAGAAACTGACCCGTTTGCAAAAACAGGTTGGGTTTGGGTCCGGTCGAACAGTGTTGGGTCAGTTTCGAGTTCGACCCGAACCCGACCTGTGACCCGAAATTGACACCCCTTGACTAGGACATGAATTAATTTGCTTGGTTAAGGTCAAAAGAGTTATTTACCATGTGGTTTAATCACCACTAAAATAAGGTATCCACCCTCGAGGACGATCAACTAAGTCGATTGTTTGATATGACAGATAACTCCACACTGGAAAATGGCCTAAGCACAAACACACCTCGATATGCATAAGAATATATAGGGGTGTCAAAACGGGTCAATAAGTTGAGTATTGATTTGACTCGAATCTGATCAACCAGAATATGATCCATTTCGTAAACGGATAAAAAATCGAACATGAACCCGACTCTCTAGCAACTTAAACGGGACCCAATAACCCATTTTTTATATTTAAAAAAATTTATAACTTTTAAACAATAGATTTTTAATTAATAAATAAAAAATAATCATACCAACAACAACATCAAGCCTTTAACCCACTACGTGGGGGTCGGCTACATGAATCAGTTTTCTCCATTATGTCATGCTAAGAGTCAAATTCTCATTTAAATCTAATAAAGAAAGGTCATTTCTAATATTTTCGAACCAAGTCCTTTTAGGTATACATCTACTTTTCTTAACATAGGCAAAATCTAATACATCTACTCTCCTAATATGATCATTGGAAGCCCAACGTTTTACATGACCAAACCATCTAAGGCGGCTCTCTGTAATCTTATGTGTCACCAAAACTACTCCAACTTTTTCACGTATATGCTTGTTTCGTTTCATATCTCTAAGAGTAAATCATTCATCCACTTGAGCATCATTATCTCAGCAACACCAAACTTAATATTATGCTTCTCTTTTAATGGCCAAAATTCTGTGGCATAAAGCATTGCATGTCTCACTACCATCTTATAAAAATTGCCCTTAAGTTTGAATGGTACCTTTCTATCACAAAACGAACCCAAAGCATTCCTCGATTTCAATCATCCAACTTGAATTCTACTAATAATATCCCCATTTATTTCACCACCACTCTGAACAACATATCTAATATATCTAAAATGAGTTCACTTATTAATGACTTGATCGCTCAAAGTCATAACCCCCCCCATTATATCTATTACTACTAAAATTACTCTCAATGTATTCGGTTTTAGATCTACTCAAACGAAAACCTTTAGACTCTAAGGTTGATCTCCATGATTCGAGTTTACATTCAACTCCCTCTCTAGTCTTATCAACAAGAAGAATATCATCAGCAAGAAGCATACACCAACATACATCATCTTGCAAATGTCTAGTGAGAACATCCATGACTAAAGTAGAAAGATAAGAGCTTAAGATTGATCATTGATGTAATCCAACTGAAATAGGAAAATGCTTCGTCAAGCCACCTTGAGTTTGAATACAAGTAAAAACTCCTGGATACATATCCCTAATGACTTGAATATAATCATTATTAACATCTTTCTTTTCTAGAATTCTCCATAGCTTGAAACTTTATCACATGCTTTCTCTAAATCAATAAATATCATATGTAGATCCTCCTTAGTATCTCTAAACTTCTCCATCAACCCTCTCAATAAATGAATAACTTCCATAGTAGACTACCTGACATGAATCCAAATTGATTTTGAAAAACATTAGTATCACATCATAACATATGCTCCATATCCAAACCTCTATTAGAATATCATCAAATCCATTGATTTTTCCACCCTTTATTTTTTTGTTAAAACTTCACTAACTTCAATTTTACTAACACGCCAATAAAAATAAAAATATTTATTTTCATTTACAGTGCTAAGTTCACTAAAGACAACCATACCAACAAATAAAAAAAAAATTAAATAGATCAAAGTTTTATTGGCATGTCAACCTGAACCCAACCTATTAATTAAACAGGTCAAATCAAAACCGAATTTTCAAGTCGGATCATTTTTTTACACCCTTAACAATATGGAAGAAATTATAGATCATAGTCGCTAATTAGGCTCCCAAAAATTCAATTTAATCCTTTAATATTTGGCAAATTAGATTCAAAAGTGCATAAAATTCAACAAAATTCATAAGAGCATAACATCCTCATACACATACTATAACAATACTACAAAATATTTCCCTACCAAAAGCAAATATACACCCCAAACCCTAAGTTTTCATATCTCCCCACAATCAAACTCGGCTTTCTTAAAAAGCGCCCTTGCCAAAATCCCAGACAAGCACTTATCTCTTAAAAAGCTAATAACTGCTCCATCATTCTGCAGTACATAGCCAACAAGATAAGAAGAAGCAACGAGGTCAAAGCTCCTCCATCTCCTCTCCTTCGCATACTTCTCCAAGCTCTTCTTAATGATCTCATACTCTTCTTCCTCAGTCTTACAAAGCCTTGCTTCAAGAAGAGCACCGCCTAAGCTTCGAGCAAGAACAATGGCGTCTTCAAGTGCAGAGCATCCTCCTTGGCCAAGATCAGGGGTCATGGGGTGAAAAGCATCTCCAGCTACAGAAACATTGCCTTTGCTGATATTTCCAGTGAGTAAATCAGAAGGCCATCTGTATCTCAGTGGAGAGCAGACAAGTCCGCTCATTTCAGTCTTCTCTACGACTTCAATGATTTTCACAGGTAAATTTGATTTGTGCATTTTGCTCAAAATCAACTGCTTCATCTTGCTTGCATTGTCTTCAGCATCTCTGTCTGTGGAATGGAGAAGAAAGAAGGCTTTTTTCAATCAATGAATGGAATTAGTTAATTGCCTTAAAACAAGAGAAAATATGAATTTGTTGATGCTGGCATGCAGGGGCGGATCCAGCTTCTATTTTTAAGATGGACAAAATTTTAATTAATTAGATATCAACAATAATAATAACAAAAATAAAATAATAAGAAGATAATAACATCAAATAGTAATAAAAATAAATAAATTTTTTTAAAAAATTTAACCAACATAATACTATCAAATTTATAAGAGGCAATTTTTATCATTCATCTTCCAATTACATGTTGGAAATGTCGAATGCGATTGGGAAGAAGACTGTTGCGAGACGGCTGCAAGGCGGCGACGTCTTGAATGTTGAATGCACGAATTGAGAAAGCGGCTGCGAAGTACGAACTTGCGGGATGGCCAACGACACTTATGATGATAATATAAGGGCAAAAATGTTCTTTTGAGGGGAGGGATAAATATCAAAAATGCCCACCCCTGACATCAATGGGGATCCGCCCATGTTGGCATGTTGAATTCACTTGATCACGCAAGCAAACAATTTTGATATGCCACCATCGACAAAATAATATGCCATTAAAATTAATAAAAGATGCCCCTAAAGTCCCCATCTTACAAATTAACCCTCAAAGTTACATGAAATTTGTGGCCTATATAGATTAGAAGCAATGGCAAGACTAAGGTATTAAATGGAAAAAATTGTCTCAAATGTATTAACCTCATGTTATTGTCATAAAACAAATGATGTTGGCTCCCTGTACATCGCACTCTTATATGAGATGGGTATTGAGGTGAAGAAAGGCACACCTAAGAGAAAAGTGGGGAAAGTGTAGGGTGGTTACACCTATGGCATAAGTTTTTCGGTCATCTTAAGGTCATAACTTCTATATTCCAAGGGCCAAATTTTCGAACTAAGCATAATTAACAATTTAACTATAAGATTAAACATGACGCAGAAAGAATTTAAAAATAAGCAAAGTCGCTCGTTTGAAAGGCGACTTAGGGCTAATCCAGAGAACGACGTGGCAATTAAAGGATTTAAGGTTTAACAGGCGAAAGTCGCCCGTTTGCCCGTTAAACGGGCGACTTAGACTTAAATAAATTATCTACTTTCCTTTCCCGATCAGTTCTTCTCCCTCTTTGTCATTTTTTCGTTGCTCGCTCGCTGCTGCGTGTGTTTGTCGCCGGTTAAGCAAAGGTATGGCTTTTTTTATGCATTTTATGTTAAGTTCAATGTATGTTGATTATTGTGTATTTTACTTAGATAAGTAAAGATTTATGCTTTACAAATTGTTTCTCTAGTTTTTTTTTTTTTGTAAATCTCTTTGATGTGGAATATATTTGAAAATTTGTTTGCGTTAAGTAAGATTTCTGCATTTAGGCTGTGAATGTTTTAAATATTTTATAAATCTATGATTTAGGGTTAAAATATATATATATCTGTGATTTAGTGGCAATTTGTGCGGTAAATATATCCAAGATTTGACTTTTAATGATGTAGAAATTACCAGTAAAAGCCTTAATACTTGTAAAATAGGTTACTCACTTAACTTTCTTGTTTTAATTTCTGACGTCAAAGGAATATTCACATGAAATTTTTAACTCTTTTATATAACTATTGCATTTGCAAAAAAAAAGCCTCCATTCGATAATAGACTTAAAAATTTTGACGAAAAAAATCAACTGTCGAAATCTCAATTTTGTTTAGTCAAAATTTTCATAAGAAGGAACACAATAACGTACTAAAAATCACATGACTAAAATTTTGTAAAATTTGATAAAAATATATATTGAGAAGGAACACAAGTCACGATACAGCTACCTCATTTCAAACACTTTCTCCTTGGTTCCTTGATTGTTTTACTTTAAAAGTCAAATTATATTCATGTTCTTTCCTATACTAACTATCCTCTACCTTAAGTTGGTTTTGTAAAAATATTAAAATTTATTATTAAAATTTTGAAATTAAATTTCATGAATATTATATTTATTTTTTATGTTTTAGCATTCAAGAGATTTTGAAGTTTATTAATCTAATTAGTATTCTAATTGATAACTTATAAAATGTTTATTTATGTAAATGCTAAAATTTAAAAATATTTAATTGTGATTAAAGAATCATTACTATAAAATTATTTTTAATGCTAAGTTCTGTAGCAATAATTAATAGCATAGTTATATAATAATAAATTTTTCTCAATTTTTTTTAATATTTGATTTTGATATTGTGCTTGCTCTTATAACTATTGTCTACTTAATTAGAAGTAGCAACTTAGCATTTTCTAAATTTAAACGTATATTAAGAATATTTTATTTGTTCATATTTTTTAGTGGTACATACGAGTTGAATAATGAGTGGACGTGATGCAACCTTCATGCTCCTGTATGGAGGCGAGTTACAAGTTGATGATAAATTTGCACCAAGCTATTCTGGGGGGATGAATCGTCCCTTACATGTGCCAAGAAATATAAACTTAGAGCAGCTTAAGTTAAGGATACTTAGAGCACTTAAGTATAATCCTACAAAGTTTTCTGTGAACTTAGTCTGTCGAGTGCCTGTGGGAAATGAGTTTGTCGCTTCACATGTTGAAGATGACGATGTTTGTGAAGTTTTATTATGTCAGGCTGAAACAGAATTTCTCATCATATATGTTGATGTCGAAGAAAAAAATATGAGTGAAGATAACATTTAGCCTTCAAATTCACAAAGATATGCAACTTCAACCCAAGTGTCAGGGGAGGACATTTGGACTGCACGAGTGCCTCTGATCAGTTGGAAGAGGGTTGAGTGACACTTGCTAGATAGTTTACTACGACAATTTGGATTATGCCCAACTACTAACATCCAACCAATGGATCTAAGCTTCAAAAGGGTAGATGGTCGTGGGAAATTAGACATGGACTGAATGTTGTACCACAAAGCACACATTGTCATATGGGAGAGTAGGCGTGGATACATAGTTATAGGAGACCTCCTTAACCAGCATAATAACTACTCGATTCATCACTACATACAGTGGTACAAGTCATGGGCAACACTATACATGTTGAATGCACCTGTTGAGCCTCCCACAACGGCATATCCTAGAGCTCCCTCTGAGCGCCTTCTGGTAGATTTAAATTGAATATGCTATAAATTTAAGGGCCCTCTGCGGACCTCTTCAGTAATCAGGTGCCAGCGAATTTGGATGCATACCTCACCTCAGATTTTGTACCGAGCTCCCTTCTTAGAGATGACATAGCTGAGGAAGAAGTTGCTAAGGAGGAACATCACATGCTACGTCAAAGGCCACGGTAACCTCCACAACATTACACTTCAGGCGCTGATGCATTGCCACAGAGGCCACGTAGGCGACGCTAGTTCATCATTTTATGTATTTCAGTATGCTTATAATATGAATTATTTAATTTCAGTATGCTTATGTTATGGATTATTTAAATTATTATCATTTTATTTAAAAGTCTTTTTAAGCTGGCTAGTAATTTGCACCTAAGCCAATTTATAAATTTTTCTTATATTTATAATGAAACACCCATCAAATCTAATCATATCAACACTAATTAATATTTATATTTTTTTAAGTATATATAACTAATATATACATTTGTCGTGCCAACCTTTTTATTACAAAATCTAATTTAAAAAAAATTAAGAATTATTAAATGAGTGTTAAATCTAATATATTTAAATTCTTCAATCTAATATCAAATCTTATAGTCCAAAAAAATTCTATTACATATTATTCTTTAACAGTTCTCCAAACTTGTAGAATTTTTTTTAATTTAATTTTTTTTTAATTATAGACTAAGTCGACCGTTTAACGGGCGACTTATAAGTCGTTTGTTATCTTGGGGACTTATTAATAGAAACATTTCTTTGTCAACTCGGCATAACGGCTACAATCCTAGTCAGCATAAGTCACCGTTTAAATAAGTGATTTTGCCTATATTTAATTTTTTTTTAAACATGCTTAAATTGTTAATAAAATTTTTAATAATGCTTAAAATATCCTTGATCTTGAATATACAACTACCTACGCAAACCACGACAAAGCTCTGCCACTGTGTTTATGTCCCTCTGTTGTTGTTTATCATTTGTACTATTGAAGTGTTGTTGCAAAGCATGTTCAATATCAAGGAAAAAATCTCTCTGAATTAACAAAAGAAATTTGTTATTATTTAAAAAAAAAAGAAATTATTTAATAAATTTATAGCATATTCAATTTAAACCTACCAGAAGGCGCTCAGAGGGAGCTCTAGGATATGCCGTTGTGGGAGGCTCAACAGGTGCATTCAACATGTATAGTGTTGCCCATGACTTGTACCACTGTATGTAGTGATGAATCTAGTAGTTATTATGCTGGTCAAGGAGGTCCCCTGTAACTATGCATCCACGCCTACTCTCCCATATGGCAATGTATGCTTGGTGGTACAACATCCAGTCCATGTCTGATTTCCCACGACCATCTACCCTTTTGAAGCTTAGATCTATTGGTTGGATGTTAGTAGTTGGGCATAATCCAAACTGTCGTAGTACTCTATCTAGCAAGTGCCACTCAACCCTCTTCCAACTGATCAGAGGCACTCGTGCAGTCCAAATGTCCTCCCCTAGCACTTGGGTTGAAGTTGCATATCTTTGTGAATTTGGAGGCTCAATGTTATCTTCACTCACATTTTTTTCTTCGACATCAACATACATGATGAGAAATTCTGTTTCAGCCTGACATAATAAAACTTCACAAACATCGTCATCTTCAACATGTGAAGCAACAAACTCATTTCCCACAGGCACTCGACAGACTAAGTTCACAGAAAACTTTGTAGGATCATACTTAAGTGCTCTAAGTATTCTTAACTTAAGCTGCTCTAAGTTTAAATTTCTTGGCACATGTAAGGGACGATTTCTCCCCCCAGAATAACTTGGTGCAATTTTATCATCAACTTGTTACTCGCCTCCATACAGGAGCATGAAGGTTGCACCACGTCCACTCATTATTCAACTCGTACGTACCACTAAAAAAGATGAACAAATAAAATATTCTTAATATACGTTTAAATTTATAAAATGTTAAGTTGCTACTTCTAATTAAGTAGACAATAGTTATTAGAGCAAGCACAATATCAAAATCAAATATTAAAAAAAAATTAGAAAAAAATTATTATTACATAACTATGCTATTAATTATTGCTACAGAACTTAGCATCAAAAATAATTTTATAGTAATGATTCTTTAATCACAATTAATTATTTTTAAATTTTAGCATTTACATATATAAATATTTTATAAGTTATCAATTAGAATACTAATTATATTAATAAACTTCAAAATTTCTTGAATGCTAAAACATAAAAAATAAATATAATATTCATGAAATTTATTTCAAAATTTTAATAATAAATTTTAAATTTTTTACAAAACCAAGTTAAGGTAGAGGATAGTTAGTACAGGAAAGAACCTGAATGTAATTTGACTTTTAAAGTAAAGCAGTCAAGAAACCAAGGAGAAAGTGTTTGAAATGAAATAACTGTATCGTGACTTGTGTTCCTTCTCAATATATATTTTTATCAAATTTTACAAAATTTTCATCATGTGATTTTTAGTACGTTATTGTGTTTCTTCTTATGAAAATTTTGACTAAACAAAATTGAGTTTTCGACAGTTGATTTTTTTCGTCAAAATTTTTAAGTATATTATCGAATGGAGGCTTTTATTTGCAAATGCAATAGTTATATAAAAGAGTTAAAAATTTCATGTGAATATTCCTTTGACGTTAAAAATTAAAACAAGAAAGTTAAGTGAGTAACCTAATTTACAAGTATTGAGGCTTTTACTGGTAATTTCTATATCATTAAAAGTCAAATCTTGGATATATTTACTGCACAAATTGCCACTAAATCACAGATCTATATATATTTTAACTCTAAATCACAGATCTATAAAATATTTAAAACATTCACAGCCTAAATGCAGAAATCTTTACTTATCGCAAACAAATCTTCAAATATATTCCACAAACAAAGATATTTACAAAAAAAACTAGAGAAACAGTTTGTAAAGCATAAATCTTTACTTCTCTAAGCAAAATACACAATAATCAACATACATTGAACTTACTTAACATAAAATGCATAAAAAAAAGCCATACCTTTGCTTAACCGGCGACGAACACACGCAGCAGCGAGCGAGCAGGGAAAAAATGGCGAAGAGGGAGAGGAACGGATCGGGAAAGGAAAGTAGATCATTTATTTAAGTCTAAGTCGCCCGATTAACGGGCGACTTATAAACGGGCGACTTACCTTAAATCCTTTAATTGCCACGTCGTGCTCTGGATTAGCCCTAAGTGGCCTTTCAAACGAGCGACTTTGCCTATTTTTAAATTCTTTCTGCGCCATGCTTAATCTTATAGTTAAATTGTTAATTATGCTTAGTTCGAAAGTTTGGCCTAATTATGCTTAGTTCGAAAATTTGGCCTAATTATGCTTAGTTCGAAAATTTGGCCAAAATATAATTACATTACTACACTTAATGTTTACATCCTGATTAAAGTCCAACGTCTAAAATAATATATACAATAGCCACAACAGATTACAAAAAATATATATAAAGCTAAAGAACTGAAAATTAAAAAAAAAATTATTGTTATTGCCTAGCCTCACTCTTCAGGCTTCTTACATTTACCTGAAATCATTAAAAGTCACATAATGAGCACATAGCCCAACAAGTTAATGCAAGACAAAATAATCAATGTGTCTATTCCAATTCAGTCAATATCAATCAATAAGCTATCAATATGAACAATAAAAAATATATAAAATCAATATTAAACAACAGCAAAACAAATATGATCAATGAAACCAAATTATTCAATAATCCAACAATCTATAAGAAAATTGATAAGAATACTATCAATCAATTGCAGGTGTTGTATGGTTAAACAAATCTAAATTGTCTATCAGTTATGTTTATGCTGATGGTTCTAACACATGCTTCTATCAAACATTATGCCATGCATAATTATCTATTAATATGGTATATCGAGATGTTGTATCAGCATTTCTATCAATATTTTGAAGAGGAAACGGAGGAGGAGATGGATGAGAAGCTACACTTGGATCTGGCTAAGGTTTTCCTGAACTTAGTGGTAGGATTCACTACGAATCATATTATGAAGGTGAAGGGGGAGATAGAGGGCAGGGAGGTGGTGGTGCTAATTGATAGTTGCGCTACCCACAATTTCATTTCCACTTAGGTCATCAACTAATTAGGAGTGAAATTGGTGGACACTGGTTGTTATAGAGAGATGATGGGTACAGTGAAGGTGGAGAAATGTCGGGGGATCTTTAGAGGAGTGATGTTGACCATCCAAGGGATTCAAGTAAGGGAGGACTTTCTTTCACTAAAATTAGGAAGTACTGATGTCATCCTAGGAATGAAGTGATTGCAAACCTTAGGGGAAATCAAAGATAATTGGGGAGCACTCACAATGAAATTAATGATGGATGGGAGAAAAGTGGTTATAAGGGGAGATGCAGGGCTATCCAAAGCCATGGTATCACTTAAGACCATGGTAGGTAGGGGAAGATTTTCTAGTGTGACTACACAAGCTGGATGTGATCAGGAAAGAGGAGGCAGGGGAAATTGCTCTTTCAGGTCAATCTCTAATTCAACAAATTGGTAAGAATTTTCAACCACCTCAAGAATGGCCACCTCCATCGGAACACGAGCATATCTCCACCTTGAGGACAAGGTGGATCTTCGGGAGGGGAGTATTGTTAGACAGATCCAATGGATCAGTCCAGCCGGTCCATGCGGGACCGGCCCAAGCACAACGAGGCGGAAGCCTCCGCCTCCCGTTTCAGCCACACGCCCTGCCTGGTTCAAACAGAGCCATTTAGGAAGGATTTTGGAGGGATTTGGAAGGAAAAATTGAATGTAGGGATTGTTTAGGGATTTCCTTTTGATTTGTATGCATTAAATACTTTGTTTTCCTAGGATTAGGGCATCTTGAATTTGGCTGAAATTTGAGATCTCTTAGATTTAGGTTTTCTTTGGGCTCTAGCGGCGTCTAGAGATTTGGGAGAGATCGATCCTCCTCTCGAATAGAGGATCAAGTGTATCTTGCTATTTTCCGTTTTGCTTTCATCAAGTAATACAAATTATCTGCTGTTTTTTTAGCGATTTTGTGCGGATTTTTGTGAAGATTCTCGCTGTTTTAGAAGATTGATAGGAAATACTTGTGATCTACAAGTGTTTCCTATCACCCCACCAGCATATTGAGCCTAGAGAAGCCTCATCTAAAAGGGACCAACAAGGGTCCTAAATAGTGATCAGAATTATCTATAAGGAACCTGAGATCAAGAGACCTCATAAGATCACAAGAGTGGTCAACAGAAACAATCTCATAACTCCATTCTAATAACAACTTCTTTGAAGTAATTTTTTTATAAATTAGCACAAGCTTTTTTATCAGACTATGATTAACCTATTCGGAGCATTTTAATGCTGCTGCAAACCAAGCATAAAGTCCAGCCAAATAAGCATTATGTTATGAAGTCGACCACAACAAATTTAGATATAACTACTAATGATGATAATTGAATGATAAATGTCTTGCTACTAATATCTGGAGTAAAATACGTTTTATTACTCTAGCTTACCTTGATCAGTGGGAGTCCAAGTGAAGAACCAATAAATGGACTTTTCATCAGAGGTCAAAAACCCTAACCGATAGCCTTCTCCAGAGTACTGCAAGAACTCATGCTTGAAGCCATGCCCTTGAGGAAACTCAGTGAAACCTCTAATGGCTGAGCGCCCAGAGAAGGAAGGCTTGCTGAGCCCTAGCCATTTCGAGACCACTGAGTTCACTCCATCACACCCTAACAAGACCTGCATGAAATATTACAGTTGGTAACTTAAGGCCCTAACAAAATCAACTGTAATCTAGCTCCGGTTGAATTGCTGTAATTTCAAGCCATCTTGAATTTGAATCAAGACGGCTTGGAATGAGCCATTTTTTACTTTTTGCATATGTTATATTTAACTTATGCCCAACTAGAAGATCAAAGTAAGCCAAACTTTGGATGGTTCAACTCATTCGGTTTCACTCAAGCCAAAAATCAATCTGATATTTTGTGAGCCCCATCTTCGAAAGCAGCACGAATGCTTATATATCTTTGTTAGGAGAAGCTATGACGTGCGGAGTCCAGACGCGGAGTTATGTCCGGACTCCAATAAAAATGTGACATGGTGTGTATATTATGTATAAAATTTTGTATACATTATGTACATAATTTTTGTAATTTGTATATAGCGTGTACAGTTGTACACCCTATGTACAAGAACATATGTCATGTTTTTATTGGAGTCCGAACATAACCGGTCTCCGCACCTAATAATTTCTCCTTTTTTAGACTAGCCTGCCTCGATCCTCTCCAAAATGTCCTAAGCTATGCAAGTCATCAATATCCAAGCTTTGTATTTTCTCATCATCTAATTCCTTATTAGCCTTCACTATTTTTATTCATGTGACACCTTATAGCATTGAAAAGCCATTTGACGTGAGATTAATCCTAATACTCTCAGCATATCACATTTCTAAATCGCATAATCAAAATCAAACAATTTATCATTTTTTTTCTTACATACAAGTGCACAGAGACAGTCACCTTAGTCTTGAGGATCGACCCATCAGCTAAGTGCAGAAGCTTCAGATAGCCATCCTCCTCTATTCCAACCACTTTAGAAGAGTACCTTATAGTGCCCGGAGGCAGTTCCTTTGCCAAAGCCTCAAGAAGCAACTTTCTCCTCAAGCAACGCCCTTCAAACTCTCCCCTGCAACAAAGCAAAACCTCGATCATCGTCTCTATGATCTACTTCTCGTCAAATATACTTATCAGATGCTATTTGGTTCATTACCGTTTCTCCTGAGCTGAGAAGGAGATCTGAGCAGTTATGCCTCCAGAAGCGGGAGATTTTGCAACGATTCTGCATAAGAATTGAAAGATTATATCTGAAATAGATGATAAAGAGATCAGTGTGATGAGAAGGTTACCGTTGGAGGCGGAGATGGGCACGGCGCAGGGAGTCGGCAATGCCTAGGGCATCGAGGGCTTTCCAGGCGTTGGTCCATAAGGTGATAGCGAAGCCGGAAGCTCTCAGCGACTCGGATGATTCCAGGATGACACTTCGTATCCCCTTCCTGGGATCAGATAAGGAATCACAAATAATTTAAAATTTTACCGTTATTTCTTATTATAATTACGGAGAAGATTTTTTTTTTTTTTTGAAGAATATTTGCAAAAAACTTAACTTCATAAATTTCAACATATTTTATATTAGGGAAATTTACATACATATCACTTTATTTTATACTATTTACATATCTAACACCTAAAACTTGGTATAACTTTTTGACTTTTCGGACAGCAATCATAATTTCGTTTGGCTACTGCTTTCTTATTACATTTCAAAAAAAAAAAATTGTTGTGAAAAGATGTTTCTTTTTTTCCATTGAAATTTTACTAATAACTTTTTAAAATGTTGTAGGTATTATAAATATATCCTAAGTAATTTTTTCTCACACCAACTTCATAACTAATTTTAGAAAATGTTGCAACCGTCCTAAACATGGACTAGCTTTTTAATTATTTGATGATAAGAAAAATAATATGTATTTCAAATACAACTTTTTCAGAATTATGTTAAATTTTTCACTTTTAAATTCTTTTTAAAAGTATTTTTTAAGCTGTGGTTGTGACATGAACTTTGAAAACAAAAATAGAAAAACTTAGGATCTATTTAAGATGGCTATAAATTTTTATAAAATCTATTGTAAAAGTATTGTGAGAAAAATAATTTAAATACTCTATTTAAAAAAAATTAATTTTCTATCATCGAAATAAAAAAATAACAAAAATAATAATAGCCAAACTAAATTATTACTACTTTATTAGTATCTAAAAACAAAAGCAACAAAAAAAAAATCTCAAACAGACCTTTAAAGCGACCCAAATAAAATCTAAATCACACATAAAACTTGATAAACTCACCGGTGGAGGCCGAGGGCCGTAGCGAGCCCTGAGATTCCTGCTCCGATAATCACCACTTCTTCCTCCATGGCTTCCATTGATGAGCAGAGAGAGTCTACAGAGAGGACCATTGACTATAAATAGAAATATGGATTACAGTGAGGAAGATGACGCCATTGCTTATGCTAAGTAAGGCTGCTTCAGCAACTTGCAGCCACAGAAGTTGCTGAAGCGCACGTGCGTTTTTTTTTTTTTTAATGGCTAGAAAAGTTCAAGGGGTGGTTGATTGATGATCAATTATCATATCATTTTATTCAGTATGTCAGTTTAATCAATTTGTTGATTTACCTATCCAATTTATATAATGAAGGTGAAGTTTTTAAAATGATGCAGCTTATTTTTGTCTATTTGTTGAGAGCTTAGGCCGTTAATTAAGTGATTTTGAGTTTGAGATTTATATATAAGTTGTGAGTGAGTTTATATTTTGATGTATATTATCGTAGTCTGTTAGCTTAAAACATTTGAGATTAGATGATTGCATCATAGAACAGTCCTACATATAAGTGATTGAATCATAAATCTATCATTTGAACTTGATTTTTGACTAATTTAAAGTTGAAGCAAATCTTTCGATGAGACTACTCCTACAACATAAAAAGTGTCTTGATATGAGTCCAGATAGATCTAAATCAAGAAATAGAAGAAATAGTTAGAAACTTTATGGCATCGTTTTAGGAATTAGATGATATTCGAATATTGCATGTTTATAATCAAAAGGAGCATCTTGATGAGAGGAATTCAACGAGCCAAAATCAATCAAATACAATATTATTAAGATATTGAGATGGAGATTAACATGGATTGTTCGATGGAGTATTTTCATTTCTGTTTGACATGATCAAAATGTCTCCCTCCATAAAATTTATAGATGGACTCAGGTTCTACATATTTGGCAGAGGCTGAGATGATGTCATAAAAAGGGTTATAGGAGAGAATCCAAAGCTCTACTTGCAAGCACTTAATGTCTATCATTGCTACCAATGTGGATGCCCAATGTCAACCACAAAGGTAATTTCGTTCATTGACATAAATGCTGACATCCGCCAATGCTAATTAGGTTATCACCCGCAATCATTAATAGCGTAGATGCCAGCCAATTCAAATAATGTCATCATACACCATCTCGAATAATATTGATTCCCATTAATACTAACAAGATTGTTGCCAACCTTTAACATCAATATTGATACCCACCAATACTGATATGATTGTTGTCCACCTTTGACACCAATATCATCACTCATAGATGCTAATAAGGTCATTGTTTACCATCATCAATAGTCAATGGTCACCAATGCAAACAAAGTTTGTGCTTGTTGTCAACACCAATCAATGCTTGCTTACGCCAACAAGATCATCACTTGCCGTTAATAATTACATTGATGTCTACCACTGTCAATCAGGTCGTTGCCCATCATCATTAATAATATTGATAATTGTCATCAATAATAAAGTTGTCACACACAATTACATACATAACACATAAAACTATTGAAAATACATATTTAATACCTAAACTTTTATATTTACTAATATACCACTTAAAACCCTTCTTTTAATTAATTCTAACATTCCGTTTAAACCTTCCGTCAAAAATCACTATCAACGACTCTCTTCCCCATCAACAGCAACCTTTTATAGTGAATACAAATATCTCATTGCTTCAATGGAGCTGTAGAATAGAAGGAAAAAGAAATTTTAGGTGATATATTAATAAATATAGAAGTTTAGGTGTTAAGTATATATTTCAGTAATTTTAGATGTTATGTATGTAAAAATCTCAAAAATTAAACTACAACTATATTCTAAGATATAGCAAAATATTTCCCCAATGAAATCAAGCACTCACCGTTTACCCTGAGCAGAGAAGGGGATCTGAGCAGCCATGGCTCCAGAATCGGCAGAGTTTACAACGATTATATGCAAAAAAAAAATTAGATTAGATTTGAAGTAATTATTAGAGCTTGGAATTAGAAGGTTACCGTTGGAGGCAGAGGTGGCTTTGGCGCAGGTAGTCGGCGACGCCTACTACGTCGAGGGCTTTCCCGGCGTTGGCCCGTATGGTGAGAGCGAAGCCTAATGTTCTCAGTGTCACAACCCAACCCGACCGGAACGAATCCCTTCGCGTCAGACCGCGACAAATATTAAAAATCCAGGATCTAGTTCTGGAATTTTCTTTCGGACTTTCTTCCAATAATCAAACATACAGAAAACACAAATCTACTATAAACATCCAAATATACAGAAAAGTTCATCCATGATTTCTTCTTTATTTCCTCAAAATAATCATGTACAATACAGTGCATGGCTATAGACAGAAAGAACATAACAGAAAAACAATGACTGTACAAAAATTAAAAGTACAAAATACATAATTACAGATCAGACACTAGACGGCTAGTCCAAGACTTCCTTCCTTTCTCAGAACCTAAAAACCACATAGATAACAAGGACGAGTTAACAGCTCAGCAAGACCACACTAGACAATCAAAATATTCAGAAATTCACATCAGCAAATATATCAAAAGAGTAGTCGTACAGAATTCAGATAATCGTACAGAAAATCAAACCACTAAAACAAAATAATTGAATTCATTCATATAGCAGACTATTCAAATTAGAATTAACTTTAAATCACAGAACAGACAGAATAGTACAAATCCTTACAAATCATAAGCACATTGTCGAATCGGATAAAATCATATAATACAGATCTCACAAATCAGAGTTCACATATCAGATTTCACATATGAGATCCCAGGACCCTGACAAAATCTCTACAGATTCTGGCCCCTTATGCCTCCCTTCCCTAACACATACAGAATCTCAACAGATTCTGGCCCCTTATGTCTCCCTTGTGCTTACAGCACCAAAATTTGTCAGATATTACAGAATTTCAGATCAAATCAGACTTTTCAGATTTCCCTGACACATATAGAATCTCGAAGGATTCTGGCCCCTTATAACTCTCTTCTGATAGCATATAACACATCAATTCATTCAATTCTGGAAAATCAAATTACGTCAGAAAAATCGTCAGCGGCATAACGGCAGTATACGGAATTTCCACATAATTCACAAATTCAGAAATTTATCAAATTACCACAGATAGTACAAAACATCAATATAAGACTTTCATTGTACTGAAGCAACATATTTCAACATCCAGATACTTCGTTATTCGATTAAAATACTGCATAATTCAAAATACCCGGTAAAAATCTTCCATAAAATACTCAAAACGTGCAAAAACATCATCTCAGAAACATACCAAAAGTTACGCGGTAAAAAGTTTATCAATGCGAAATGAAACCAATTATTCGCTAACGGAAATAGATTGCGGAATAGAAAAATTATCAAAATCCACATTTCTGAAAATTGAGAAAGGCGGAATGTGCCTTACCTCGAGTCGATCAACTTTCTCAACTACGGCGATGGACGAAAATGGATTGAAGTGGCCCAAAACGCGGATTTTTTATCCCTTCATTTTTCTCTCTCCTCAGCTTTCTCTCTCTTAAAAAATGACACTATTCAGATATTTATCAAACAGGATCGTCCAGGACGATGTCCTGATCGTCCTGTGACAATCTCCTCTGGACTGCCATCGTGTAGACGAAAATTAATTCCAATTTGTTTCGTCCCTAGACGATGCTCTCTGTTCAGTTCGTCCCGATGAACCCAGGTTCGTCCAAACGAACCATACAGATTTTAAACATTTTCTTCAGTTCGTACTGACGGTTAATCCGTACTAATAGCACAAGAGTTTTTTTTTTTCAAACATAAATTGAAAATTTAAGGGTTTCACAATCTATCCATCTTAAGAAAAATGTCGTCCTCGACATTCCCAAAGCAAACTGAGTCAGAACAAACTTGGATACAACTGTCTCATGTCCGATTCCTTCTCCCACGTGACCTCTCTTGCCATTCTGAACTTCCACTGAATCTTAACCATAGGAATATGTTTACCTCTTAGTTTTCGCACATCATAAGCCAAAATCTTTTCAGGCTCTTCTTTATGCTGCAGATTTGCCTGACCTTCAACATCATTATCAGAAAGTTTCTTTCCGGAATCAGATATCCACTTTCTCAAAGAGGATACGTAAAACACGTTATGTATATCAGACATCTGATCAGGCAATAACAACCTGTAAGCAGAATTACCAACCCTTTCAATGATCTCAAAAGGTCTGACATACCTTGGACTGAGCTTGCTCACTCTTCCAAATCTGCTAACACCTTTCATCGGACTAACTTTGACATACACAAAGTCACCAATCTGAAATTCAACCATTCTTTGTTTCTGATTGTAATATTTCTGTTGTCTATCTTGTGTAGATTTCAACCTTTCTTTAATCAAATTGATCTTCATCACAGTTTCATCCACAAAAGTTGAACCCATCACTTGTCTATCTTCCTTTTCAATCAACGTTAAAGTAGTTCTACACTTTCTGCCATACAGAGTTTCATAAGGTGTCATACCAATACTTGACTGATAACTGTTATTATATGCAAATTCTATCAGTGGGATATGATCTTCCCAACTGCCTCTAAAATCCAAAACACATAATCTCAGAAGATCTTCCAGTACCTGAATAGTCCTCTCAGACTGTCCATCAGTCTGCGGATGAAAAGCCGTACTGAAATGCAATTTCGTGCCCAAGCCTTGTTGAATTCCTCTCCAAAGTCTAGAGGTAAACCGTCCATCCCGATCAGATACAATCACTTTTGGCACACCATGTAATCTGACAATTTCTTTAACATAAATCTGAGCTAACTTATCTACCGGATTCGTCTGCCTAATCGGAAGAAAATGTGCAGATTTTGTCAATCGATCAACAATCACCCAAATAGCATCATGCCCTTGCCTCGATTTGGGAAAACCCATAGCAAAATCCATCGTCACCTCCTCCCACTTCCACTCAGAGATATGTAACGACTGCAAAAGACATCCTGGTCACTGATGCTCTGCCTTCACTAACTAACAGACTTCGTATTTCGAAACAAATTCAGCTGTATCCTTTTTCGTTTCAGGCCACCAAAATAAGATTTTCATATCTCCGTACATCTTACCACTTCATAGATGAATAGTATAGCCTAAATAATGAGATTCATGCAGAATCTCTTTCCCCAGATCTTCAAACATATGAATCCACAGTCTATTCTTACAGAAAATAATACCAGAATCAGAAATTTATAGTTCAAGTTTCTTACCATATTTGATCTGATCCATCAACTTCAAATAGTCAGCATTTGACTTCTGAGCTTCATGAATCCTCTCTTCCAAAGAAGACTGAATGTTCATCTGAGTCAACATATCTGAATCTGAACCAGTAGAGGAAATCACCTCCAGTTGTAATCTTTTCATGTCTCGTATCAAATACTTATCAGAAGTGAGCTGAACACATGATAGTACAAAGGATTTCCTGCTCAGTGTCTGCTACCATATTAGCCTTATCAGGCTGATACTGAATCGTCAGATCATAATCCTTGATCAACTCAAGCCATCTTCTTTGCCTCAAATTCAGATCCTTTTGAGTAAATATGTACTTCAAACTCTTATGATATGTGAATACCTCACACTTGACGCCATACAAGTAGTGACGCCAAATCTTCAAAGCAAATACAACAGCGGCCAATTCTAAATCATGCATCAGGTAATTCTTTTCATGTGATTTCAATTATCTTGAAGCATAAGCTATTACCCGATCATGTTGCATCAGAACACAACCCAAACCTTTAAGTGAAGCATCACTGAATACCTGAAATCCTTCCGTACCAGATGGAAGTGCTAACACTGGAGCAGATGTCAAACAATCCTTCAACTTCTGAAAACTAGCTTCACACTTTGGTGTCCAAATAAAAGCTACTGACTTCCGAGTCAGCCTCGTCAAAGGTGCAAAAATCTGGGAAAATTCCTTCACAAACTTTCTATAATATTCGGCCATACCCAAGAAACTACGTATCTCAAACACCGTAGTAGGCCTCAACCAATTAGCAACTGCCTGAAATTTCTGGGGATCAACAGAAATACCTTCACCGCTCATCACATGACCCAGAAAAGAAATGCTCTTCAGCCAGAATTCACACTTGGAGAATTTAGCATACAACTGATGTTGCCTTAAAGTCTCCAACACACTCCTCAAATGTCTGGCATGATCTCCTCAGAAGCAGAATATACCAGAATATCATCTATAAAGACTAACACAAACTGATCCAGGTAATCCTTAAACACTCTATTCATCATATCCATAAAAATAGCCGATGCGTTGGTTACCTCAAATGGCATAACAAAAAACTCGTAGTGCCCGTACCGAGTACTAAAAGCTGTCTTCATCACATCATCTTCCTTCACCTTCACTTGATAATATCCAGATCTCAAATCAATCTTTGAGAATACAGAAGATCCAGCAAGTTGATCAAACAAATCGTCAATCCGTGGCAACGGATACTTATTCTTGATTGTAACTTTATTCAAATCCATGTAATCAACACACATACTCATTATCCCATCCTTCTTCTTTACAAACAGAACAGGTGCTCCACACGGAGAAACACTAGGATGAACAAATCCTCTATCCACCAACTCTTGGAGTTGAGCTTTCAACTCCGAAAGTTCCTTCGGTGTCATCCTGTACGGAGCCTTGGATATCGGAGCGGTACCCAAAATACATTGATACATAACTCAACATATCTATCTGGAGGTAAACCAACCAACTCCTCAAGAAATACATATGAAAAATCTCGTACAACCTGGATATCAGAAATAGACTCACATCTATATTCATATCCCGTATTGATGCCAAAAATACTGTACATCCATTCTTCCACATTCTCCTGACTTAAAACACAGAAATCAAACAAGATAAAACTCCTCTTAACCCTTGAAATACACATCTTTCACCATCCATAAGTAAGCTCGCTTATTTCTTCAAATAGCCAATTTGAGCCTCATACAGACTCAGCTAATCCATACCCAAAATCACGTCATACGAAGAAATCAGCAACAAGATCAAACATGATTTCCACTTCTTGCCAGAAATTTTAATCTCATAGAAACAAAACTTCTGAACAATCAAATTATTCCCAATCGGTAAAAGAACAGAAAGAGAAACCGGTAGCATAACAAAATCCAAATGCAAAGCATCAAAACAGCGCTCGGAAATAAATGAGTGACTCGCTCCAGAATCAAACAAAACACGACAAGGATATTCAGAAATGTAAACCATACCTGTCACCACATCCGGAGCATCTCGAGCCTCTTGCTGATTCAAACTATATACACGTGACTGAACTGGAGCTGGAGCTACGGAACTACCAGACTCCCTCTGATCACTACTAGGTGGTCTCCTAGCTATAGAACCCGAACCACCAGCTCTACCAGATGAACCTTCAAAAATAGTGCGTGGAGGAACTATCCTCAGTCTTCCTGCTGATCTAGCAAAACTCTCAGATCTAGACTCATGTCGTCTATCAAATCCAGCTTGTGGACACTCTGCAATCTGATGTCCTGGCTGACCACATCTAAAACATTGACCAGTTACCCTGTAACGCTGGCCAAAATGTCTTCGTCCACAAGTTTGGTACACAGGTGTCCCACTGACTGACCCAGAACTGGTCACACTGCCACTACCAGAAATTGTAGTGGATCCTGACTATCCACTCCTCTTGGAGTCTCCAGAAACAAATCTTTTCTTTCCAGAGATACCATTGCCATAAACATCACCACTAAACCTCTTCCTACTAGCAGTCCACCACTATTGAGTCGCCATCAGATCGTTCTCTATCAGACGAGCTCTCTCCACAAGCTCAGAGAAATCAGAAATATGAAACGGTACCAGGGGTTGCCTCAAACTATCTCGTAGTCCCCTCATAAATCTATAGCACTTCTCAGCAGAAGCACTCACCAACTACGGAGCATATCTGGCCAAAGTAGTAAACTCTGCCTCGTACTGCATAACTGTTCTGCTCCCCTGAACCAACCTCAGAAAAGTCTCCTGCATTTCCTGTCTTGTAGAAGGGGTACAAACCATGATCGAAATACTTCAGAAAATTCTTCCCAAGTAATCAGAGAGTTTAGTTTACCTTGAAATTTCTCCTCCTGTTGGCCCATCCATCAGCATTCTGCCTCACCATCTAATAGAAAAACTGCTAACGGTACCTTTCTGTCCGGATGACATTGCATGCTGTCAAATATCTTTTCCAATCTCCTCAACCAATCCTCAACTACTCTGGGCTCAACAGCGCCCTCAAACCTCGGAGGCTTCAATCTCAGAAACATTTGTACATGTCTATCTACATCTTCAGATCTAACAGCAGAAATTCTATTCTATGTCTCGCTCATCATCTGAGCAACCAACGTAGCAAACTGCGAAACTGTATCAGAACCAACCACATGGGCAGTACTGTTCACAGGAGCTACCTGACTAGCACTCTTCCCATCAGTCATATCTGGGTCTGGCAGATCCATAATCACACATAATGCAACTATGCACACAAAACAACATAATAAAAATCTAGACAAACCAGAACTACCCCGACAGACTTACAGATCAATTCATATAGCTTTGTCTTACAATCCATATTCCAAAATCATGCTCTAATACCACTAAAGATTTGTCACGACCCAACCCGACCGGAACGAATCCCTTTGCGTCGGGCTGCGACAAATATTAAAAATCCAGGATCTAGTTCTGGAATTTGCTTTCGGACTTTCTTCCAATAATCAAACATACAGAAAACACAGAGCTACTATAAACATCCAAATATACAAAAAAGTTCATCCATGATTTTCTTCTTTCTTTCCTCAAAATAATTATGTACAATACAGTGCATGACTACAGACAGAAAGAACAGAACATAAAAGCCATGACTGTACAAAAATCAAAAGTACAAAATACCTAATTACAGATCAGACACTGAACGGCTAGTCTAATACTTCATTCCCTTTCCCAGAACCTGAAATCTATGCAGATAACAAGGATGAGCTAACAGCTCAGCAAGACTACACTAGCCAATCAAAATATTCAGAAATTCACATCAGCAAATACACAAGAAGAGTAGTCGTACAGAATTCATATAATCGTATAGAAAATCAAACCACTGAAACAGAAGAACTGAATTCATTCATATAGCAGAATATTCAAATTAGAATTATCTTTAAATCACAGAACAGACAGAATAGTACAAATCCGTACAAAATCATAAGCACATTGTCAAATCGGATAAAATCATATAATACAGATCTCACAAATCAGAGTTCACATATCAGATCCCGGGACCCTGACAGAATCTCTACGGATTTTGGCCCCTTATGCCTCCCTTCCCTGACACAGACAGAATCTCAACGGATTCTGGCCCCTTATGTCTCCCTTGTGCTTACAGCACCAGAACTTGTCAGATATACAGAATTTCAGATCAAATCAGACTTTTCAGATTTTCCTGACAAAGACAGAATCTCGAAGGATTCTGGCCCATTATAACTCCCTTCTGATAGCATATAAACACATCATTTCATTCAATTCAGGAAAATCAGATTACGTCAAAAAAATCGTCAGCTGCATAACGGTAGTATACGGAATTTCCACAGAATTCACAAAGTAAAAAATTTATCAAATTACTACAGATAGTACAAAACATCAATATAAGACTTTCATTGTACTGAAACAACATATTTCAACATCCAGATACTTCGTTATTCGATTAAAACACCGCAGAATTCAAAATACCCTATAAAAATCTTCCATAAAATACTCAAAACGTGCAAAAACATCATCTCAGAAACATACCAAAAGTTACACGGTAAAAAGTTTATCAGTGCGAAATGAAACCAATTATTTGCTAACAGAAATAGATTGCAGAAAGAAAAATCGTCAAAATCCACATTTCTGAAAAATTAGAAATGCGGAAGGCACCTTATCTCGAGTCGATCAACTTTCTCAACTACGGCGACGGACGAAAATGGACTGAAGTCGCCCAAAATGCGGATTTTCTTCTTCTCCCTTCATTTTTCTCTCTCCTCAGCTTTCTCTCTTTTCAAAAATGACACTATTCAGATATTTATCAAATAGGATTGTCTAGTATGATGTCCCGTTCGTCCCGGGACGATCTCCTCTGGACTGCCATCATGCAGACGAAAATTAATTCCAATTTATTTCGTCCCTGGACGATGCTCTCTGTTCAGTTCGTCCCGACGGTTCGTCCCGATGAACCCATGTTCGTCCAGACGAACCATACAGATGTTCAACATTTTCTTTAGTTCGTACTGACGGTTCGTCCGTACTAACAGCACAAAAAAAAAATTCAAACATAAATTGAAAATTTAAGGGTTTCACACTCAGCGGCTCAGATGATTCCAGGATCACAATTCTTATCCCCTTTCTGGGCAGGTCAATGACAAAGTTCGGACAAGAAATCAAAGTTGCATAATTTGTATATACAAACAAAAAAGCAAAACATGATAAAAAACATTATAAATTTTAGCACTAATTTAGATTATAATTCAGAAGATAACAATTTACAGAAACCAACTCAGCGGTGGTATGAATTATTCGGATGTCGAATGCTGTCCAGAGCCCAATGAAAATGCGTCACATCGTCCCTACTCGGTATCGAAGCTCGGCAATGCTCGGTACTAAATGACGTGACTGTACCTGATTCGCCTCTGGACGGTAAGTTGTGTCTGTTACAACTCGGGCTTCCGAGTTTATGATTTTGATGATAACAAATAATATTTATTAATCTCTTATTTCTCCTAGTATTTGCAGTGCATATGTCTTTCTATGTTGACTAATATTTCAGGTACATCATGCACCGTTCTTTGAAGATTCAAGGCTCAAGATTGCATAGAATTGGTCGTATTAAATGAGTCTGTAATTTTCATTTATTGAGTCAAGTCTTGTAATGATGTATGTTAGTTTGTTGATCATGCACACAAATAGAGGGAGCAAAAAATGATTATAAATATTTTAACTTTTCTGTTCATCGTACTGTACGAATTTATTTCGTACTGTACGATCTGGTGTAACAGAAATAAATTAAAATATTTTATTTTTCCTGGAAAAATTATTTTTGAATATAACTAATCGTACTGTACGATCACCACATCGTACTGTACGATCTGTTATAATTAGAAAGCCCGCCGTCCATTAAATTAGGCAAAAAATTGAATTTGAAAGGTTGTATAATCGTACTGTACGATCATAATCGTACTGTACGATGTTTAAAATATTGCCTAAGTTAATCCTGAGATTATTCAATCAAAACGGCTGAAATTTGTCATTTGGATCGTACTGTACGAACAGTAACGGCTAATTTTGAATTCAGAGGTTTTTGGAGCCTTTTTTAATATGCCAATCAAGTTCTTTTTGGAAGAGGTTGTTAGAGAGGGTGAACGTGATTAGAGAGGGATTCCAAGGGAGAAAACTCAAGAGAAATTCTTGAGGGTTGAGAGGAAGGAGGAGGTGAGCATTGTGAGGGAGAAGAGGTGTGAGGGAGATCACACGGTTGCTCCAAGCTCGCTGCATCTTGCTCCTCCTGTGGCCCGAGAAGGATTTGAGGGAGGATCTCCAAGGGAAAGGCTCGTCTGCATCCGTTACCTCGAGGTTCTCTGCCTTCTCCAGGAGGGAGAAAAACGAGAAGGTTCTCTGCCGTCGCCAGGAGGGCGAAAACAGAGTTTGGTCTTCCGCCACGCCGGGTTGGTGAAAGGGAGGTTTGTACAGGCTTCTCCGCCTTGCCAAGGGGGGCAAAAGGAGAACTATTTTTATAGTGAAAATCCCGGAGTGGAGGACTCCGGGGAGTGGACGTAGGTCATATTTTGACCGAACCACTATAAAAATCTTGGTGTGTTCGTTCTTTATCATTGTTTACTTTTTGCTTGCACTTTAATTTTTCATATCTATTGCACGTGGTTTTTTTTGATAAAGCAAAATTGCATTGATCTTTATTTTAATATTTCAAAAAACAACAAAAATTAGAACTCTTGTTTAGGGTTAATTTTTTATTAAGAGAAAACTTTTTACAATTCACCCCCCCTCTTGTCGTTTAGTAATTTCAGTGTCCGGTGTCCGCACAGAATAACCTCTCCAGCGGTGGAGACCAAGTGGCATGAGAAATTATTTTGTGTGACACTGAACGGTCTATAGATCAATCAGAACGTGTCACATTATTTAGTACTAAGCATTATCGAGCACTGATACCAAACAAAAAATTGTTTTTAAATGGAAATACTATGGAGTATAGAAAAGTCCAAGATTAATAAAATGATTTAATTTTTAAAAATATAATTGAAATATATCTTCAACAAAAAATTTGTTTAGATTGTCTTTTTTATCATAATGTTAATTTTGTATTTCTTTTTTTTTTAAATAAATTTTATCATTATATGAATTATGTATTTCATATTCATTTAATTTATGTAATTATTATATCCTTCTGAGGTATTGGGGTTGGATATTATTAGGTTGGTTGATTTGCCTTTAAATTGTTATCAATTTATTAAAGTAGCTATTGACTAGCTTTCAAAGTCGTTCATTGAAATATAAAATAATAAGGTGTCACAACAAACTGATATGTGGATTTACTAATAATCTATTAATTTATTTAATAAAATAAAAAAATCAAAATAAAAAACATAAATATTTACACGTATAAAAAGCATTTCCCCTGGCTATTTGCCCCTGGAATATAAATTGATAAATATTATCAACTAATTTTATGCCGATCAAAGAATCTGCTTATCTTTGTACTTTTGAAAGTTGGGTCATTATATGAAGTAATGCAACATGACACATCAAATCTGTAGACAACGTTGTGAGTAAAATGTTAAAGCACATGTTTGGCGATTACTGCCTTGAACAAAGCTGTTCCAGCTCAATTAGAAAAGTGATCAGTTGTTGCTAAGATAAAACGACACCCAATTTACAATAGTGGATCAATTGGGTCAATTATATTCATGCCTCAATACTTAAAGGGTCAAGATACAATTGCAGAGTTCAACAAATTTGGCAGTTGATGCAACGTATTATGATAAACTTGATATTTGTAACACATTTTAGCATGCTCAATACAATCTTTCGTGAATTATTATTGGCTATTAACGGTAAAAGATTGACTTCCTAACTTATTAGTCATAGAAT